TTTAATGGTATACATCACCTCTCTTTCTTTGCCCACTCTTCGTAATACGGTCTCGTTGGTTATCTTGTCTGTCCATGATATCCTTAGAATTCGCCTGTATAGCCACATCTCGAAGGCTTCAAGTTTTTTCTCCATTGCTTCAGTTAGTGTCCAGGATTCAACTCCGTACTACAATATTGAGAAGATATAACATCGTAGGAGCCTTACTTTTATCTCCAGATTAAGATTGTGGCTTTTAAAGAGTTTGGCCATGTTATTGAATGCACTCCTAGCCTTCTCTATTCTACATTTTATTTCCTGTGAGTGATCCCATTGTTCATTTACTGTCGTTCCAAGATAGTTATACTGTTTTACTCGGTCCACTGGTGTATTATTGATAAGTAGTTGAGCGTCTCTAACTTTATTTTTGCTGATGATCATAAATTTAGTTTTTGTTATATTTACTTGAAGTCCAAATCTTTCACTTACTTCATTTACTTTGTTTATTAGTTGCTGTAAACTGTTCAAACTGTCTGCAAAAATAACGGTGTCGTCTGCATAACGGATGTTGTTTAGGCGTTCTCCATTTAGAAGTATTCCATGTTCGCATTTTTTCAAGGCTTCACTAAATATTTCCTCTGAATATAGATTAAATAATATAGGTGAAAGTATACAACCTTGTCTAACACCTCGTAGAATCTGGATCATTTCCGTTGGTTCACCTCCAAAATTCGTTCTTATTGTGGCTGATTGGTTCCAGTATAAATTTTGTATTATACGCCGATCTTTATCATCCATTTGGGCTTTTGTTAGAATATCCATCATTTTTTGGTGTTGAACTGTATCAAATGCTTTTTGGTAGTCCACAAAGCAGATGTAAATATCGCAAGTCATATCTCTGCATCTTTGAAATAATACTTGTAGACTAAACAGTGCATCTCTTGTACCTACGCCTTTCATGAATCTAAACTGTGTGTCTTGTATTCTCTCTTTGCATAGTTTGTATATTCTACGATGTATAATTTTAAGAAAAAGTTTTAATGTATGGCTCATTAGACATATTAGCCTATATTCTCCGCACTTTTTGCTCCCTGTTTCTTTGGTAAGGTAATAAATTCTGAAAGTAGCCAATCTTTTGGGATATTGCCTGTGTCATAGATATTATTGAAGATTTTACATAGTACTCTTAAAGATTCATCATCAAGAAGTTTAAGAAATTCAGATTGTACTCCGTCTGGTCCTGGAGCTCTACCTTCTTTTAGTGATATTATGGCTGCTCTTATTTCTGCCACTAGTATAGGTGGTCCTGTTTCCGTAGGTATTGGGGGCTGGTTCTCTCTCTCATCAAAAAATAAATTTCTTATGTAATTTTTCCAGGTATCATTGATACTCTCTTTGTCCACGATTATCTCTCCATTGTCATTAACAAGTTTACTTACTCTTCTGTTTTTACATTTACCTGTAATTTCTCTTACCTTCTTATGCATGTTGAAGTCGTCATATTTACTTTGGAGAATTTCGATTTCTTGGCATTTTTTCTCCAGTTCTTTCTGTTTGGCTTCTCTGATCTTTCTCTGTATCTCTAGCTGTAATGTTTTATACATGGAGTTATCGTTCTTGTTTTTCCTTCTTTCTTCCATTAGTTGCAGAATCTCTGTCGTCATCCATGTCTTATTCTTAACTTCTTCATTCTTCATAAAATTGTCTTTAATGTCGTCTATTGTTTTCTTAAGGGATTCTATCTTATCTTCTGTGCTTTCCGTTGTAGTATCGATTTCTTTAAATTTTCTATTTAATGTTTTGCTGACTATTTCTTTTACTTCGCTACATTTCAGTTTTCTCATGTCATGTTTTTTTTACAGTTTTTCCGCGTATTTTCTTTAACTTAGTTCTATACACGCCCACTAAAGGATTGTGGTCAGATTGAATATCAGCGCCTGGGTAGGTTTTAACACTGTTGAAACTATTTCGATATCTTTTGTTAACAGCTATCCAACTATCTAGTGAAAAAAAAAAAGGTTTTTCACACTGTTATTGGCATTGGAGAAATTACAATAAAAACATTGTCAAAAAAGCGCATTTTGGAAGAAGGATGTGACTCTATCAAAAATTAGAACTATTTGAAGAAGAAAAGTGTTAAGAGTACATAAAAAAGTTCAGAGGAACTGAATCACATTACAGAAGATAGGAGTCCAAAAGATAATATCTGAGTAGTGAGTTAAGTATTAGTAAACTACGTAAAAATTTAACATTAGGTTTCAAGTCACCTGCCTCTGATAGTTACAGTACTGCTGCCTTCTCAAAGAGCAAATTAAAAGTGCACCAGCACAGTCTGCTGAAAAGACACTGCTAATGATTAAAAAGTGGATTCACAAGAAGAGTGAAGGCCTTTTATGAGTACATTGAAATGGATGTTTCTCATTCTGTTAGCCTTTGTTTTAATCTTAACAAATTCAGGCACAACCGAAAAGCCCAATTCAAGAAGCTTATTACGCAAGACAAATTTGGTTTTATAACTTTTGTATTACTGGTTTAAAAACACAAAACCAACTCAAAACATGTTCTACACTTGGACAGAGTAGCAGGCAGGACAAAGCAGTGTTGAAATATCATCCTCTCTCTTTAACTATTTCAAAACAGCTGATTTTTAGAGCTGTTCTATACTAAGATTTTTTGGCGATGATTGTGTTTCCCAAAATAAAAATAATATTGTCCTGAGAACACTGATTCATTTTTTGGAAAAACACAAAACATCAATCAGTGGTATAGGAAGGTAAAAACACTAGAATATTGACCACCCCTTAATACTAAGAAGCTAAGTGAATACTACAAGGACATCCAATCAATTAGTGAACTAAAGAGAATTGATATATGCTACCGGACACAAGAAGAAATTATACACCTCCCTGAAAAACTATGAGTATGAAGAAAAAAGTGTTTTATATTTAAATTATTGAAATAATTGAAAAACAATTAGTATGTAACTCACAACCTATCTGTTTTAATTACTCTATAAATAATATATTTCGGGAACCACCAAACACTTTCAAAGATTTAGGTGTATTTTTTGATCCCACTTTATGTTTCAAAAATCACAATAATTTTATTTGTAATAAAGCTTTTAAATTACTTGGATTTTTGAAAAGAACCTTGTCAGAATTCAATAGCCTAGATTGTTTTAAAAGTGTGTCTTGTTCTATGGTTAGATCAGTTCTGGAATATTCCAGCTTCCGGTCTCCTTTATATAAATGCTATATTGAAAGCATTGAGAAAGTTCAGAAAAAAATTTTGCGCTTTGTAGGCTATAAATTAGGGATTTCCTCAAAAGATATAGTGTATTGTGACATTTTAAAATTACTTAATATATCAACATTAGAAAATCTTCATTTAATGCTAGATTAGGTTTTTTTTCAAGATTGTAAATGGAATGATAGATTCGTCTCAAATTTGGCAGAGAATAGGTCTTAGGGTTCCACTTAGAATTCACTTAGAAGTCCAACAAACAAACTATTGTCTAAATAGACCTATAAGATGAATGTGTAAATCGGGAAATGGCTTAGACTTTTTTTCTAGTTCTCTGAATAGTTTTTGAAAAAAAGCTGAAAAAATCTTTTTAAAATACAATGTAGGCTGTTACTGTAAACTGTCATTTAGGTATTTATTCTATTTATTTGTCTTGTGTAATTCTAATTGTATGTAATTATTATTGAATTCTAAACCTGTTAATATGATATGATTTATTTATTGATTGTAATTATTGCATTAGGTATAACTGTAAATAAACTGTTTATTTATTTATTTATATTTGACAAAGAAAAGGAAAAAGAATCTTAGACAAGTAAGACTGAAAGAACTTCCACTTCCTCATGTATTAACCAAAGAAAAGACAAAGATGTTCACAAACTTTTGAAAAAATGTTTTTTCTGACCCATGCCTTGATTGGTATAAGAGTTTGATTTTTGATGAACCCACCACAGCAGCTGCTGGTAAGGAGCAGGAACTAATGAGTGACTTTCTCGACGATGAGCACTGTGACTTCAATATTTAAAAACTGTTTGTTTGTTCTATTAACTACCTATCATGACAATGTTTATCATTTAATGTTTATCAATGTTTATCATATGGGTAAGACCCATATTATTATTTTACAAAAATAGTTCATTCAGAAAACCATTTTACCTTTACACTATCGCTTTTTTACTTTATTTACATGCAAATCATCTTATGTCCACAATATTTTACATGCAAAAGACTTATGTCCAATGAGTTCATTCAAAAGGTCTTATTGCCAAAACAAAATCAATTTTTGAAACTATTTTTAGCTACCCTAACTGAAATAAGTGTTTTAATCTCATGTTTGGAACCAATACTATTGCATAACATTGATTAGAACTCATTATCCTCTTTCAGAGCAAAGGTGCAAGTTTTTGGTTCTCTCTGAACAATTACTTAATTGTGACTTAAACTTGTTTGCATTTTACCTCCTCATAGGCTATAGCATATCTATATAACATATATAGGGAAAAAAGAATAGTAAAAAATATTAATATGTCAGGACATATTATAGAGCATTTTAGACAAAAATGGGCAAAGTAACTTTGAACAATATTTTTTCAAAATAATCCATGAGAGAAGAATTATTCAAGTTTTACTGTTGATCTAAAATGAACATGCAATTTTCTAAACAGGTTTTAAAAAATATGGACAAATTACACAGCAAATAAAATAAGTTTTACTGATGTATTATGTATTATTAGAATATTATTTATGTTTATTGTATTTAATTAACTTAATACTTCTTTTCACATAAATACATCTGTCATAATGTAAATAGTAATTTAAATCTTATTTAAAATATTATATGTATGTAAATGTTATAATTAACAGTTAAAAAACTGTCCAGGAAAAAAGCAAAATAAAACATTTAGGAATGTTAGGAAAAGTAGGGTAGGAGCAAATAATTTCAAGGGTATGTAGAATAAAGAGAATAATGTTTGAAACTAAAGAAAAAAAGCATCCACCTGTAGGGAGGTGCACTCCATTATCATTTCTGCCAGGACCAACGGTTGTCCTGTAGAATCATCTTGCATGAAAAGTGATCGCATTTCCCCTTTTTCCGTCAAACAGGCCCTGCAAATTTTGCCTATGTCGAAGAGGTTAACCGTGTCCACTTTTATTTCCATAGTTAAACTCCGAAAGTCAAAAACGAGAGCATAAACACAACAAAAAAGATGCACAAACACAAGCAAGGGCACGGACACCAAATGGCGAACAGATTCTTCCACTGGTCGATTGTGGAATAGGTTTGTTGATCAAGCTTCTAGTTATGCAGGTAAATGGCGGACATGGCTCATTCCTAACTACAACTACAATAAGGGTCAATTTGGTGTGGCAATTCGGTTGACGGGTGCTGAATGACGCAAAACAGGACCGTCTTGAGGCCTAATTGCAGTAAATATATTAAATTAAAACAAAAAGAAAAATGACAAAAGGAATTATTAAATCATCACAAAAATAAGTATTGACTATTTTGTACCATTTTTTAATATTGGCATTTCACAAGTGATAATTAGCTTATAATATTCTAAAACGCAAATTATAAACATTATTTTCTTTAAATCGTTCATCTACTTCTATTGTTGGAATTACTTTATTTTTGGGGATTTTTATTATGACACGCATACGTGTAACTCAACAGCTAGTTTTCCACAGCAAAATAAGAAATCATTCCGTACGACTCTGTATACGTTATTAGGGGGACCACGGCTATTGTTATGGACCATTATTTTTAAAACTAATAAAATTGGATATGGATTAATAACTTTTTAGTTGTTTAAGTTGTTTAATGTCTATAAGTTCCTAATTTTACAGTTTGAGTAGCAATTTATTAGTAGGTACCAGAGTACGTACCTATTAAAATTTGCTTAAAGTAGGGAATTTTACACGTCAAAGGAGTGGTTCAGTGGTAACGCACCATCTAGCCTTCAAGCGAGAGTAAAGCCGATTTTATCCGATCCGCCATTCGTTTGGTGCTCATTTTCGGATTGACACAACTCGTTTTGTTAATTATTTTTGTGCGATTTCTGAGTGAAAAGTAGCAATTTTTTTAACTCTTTAAAATGGTGATGTGTTCGGCTTACGGTTGTAAAAGCAACAACAGAAAGAATGAAGCGGGAGTTATATTTCACAGGTAAATAAATATTTTTGTTCTGAGTGCGTATTGTATATGAAAATACCCTAAATACTCCTTTATTCTTACATATTGCCTTTTAAGCTGTTATTTATTTAAAAACAACACTTTAATGTACCTAATTACATAACTAAAATCATATGTTTTAGTTATAAACTTCGAAAATTTTACATATAAACTTAAAAGCAACATAAAAGAGCACAATTTTACCAGTGGTGTATGATGAAATTATTTTAGAATGGGATTTATAATATATAATATGGCAACTACGAAAATGAAATGTATTACATTTACTTTTTATATAGGTTTCCAATAGACGAACCAAAAAGAAGTCTTTGGATTGAAAATATGAAAATTAAAAACTTTATACTCACTAAAAACCATAGGATTTGCTCGAAACATTTTGAAAATAATTTATTTTATGGAACTACGACAGAGAAAGTGAAATTGTTACACCAAGCAGTACCAACCATATTTCTTGAATTGCCAAAAAGTGTGCAGCCAAAAGTAGGACTTCGAAAGGTATTATTCTAAATTATTTTCATGTTGTTTAAAAACAAACTTTTTTTTTGTGTTTTGGCTTGGACAATTGTCATTCAGCCAGTCTCAATCAAGATAAGTTTATTAATGTAGTGTGTGTGTGTGTGTGTGTGTGTGTGTGTGTGTGTGTGTGTGTGTGTGTGTGTGTGTGTGTGTGTGTGTGTGTGTGTGTGTGTGTGTGTGTGTGTGTGTGTGTGTGTGTGTGTGTGTGTGTGTGTTGTGTGTGTGTAGAGTTATTGTCTTGATACTTAGCAAAGTCGACGTCATTGTCTTTGCTAAGAGACCGATCACACAAGGATAGAAATTATTTTCATTTATTAATTTTTTTAATAAACGAAAATTTCCACGCTAGGTTTAAAGGTAGGCGCTCTTACCACTGAGTCACAGACGGGGTTTTAAAAAACAAACTTTACAGTAAGTCCACTAGTGACTAGCTTAGAGGTTATTTTTAAATAACCGTTATAACCGTGGAAGTTATTTTTGGTTAACTGTTATTTTAAATAGTTATCAGTTATTTAAGGTATTCAAGTCAAAGTCTGAGCAAGTTCTTTTTGGAAGTCCCAATATTTATATAAGCGGCTTAGAGTTTGTCCTTGAATAAGGGTCAAAATACAAAATTTGTCTATTTTTATACCTTTAGGTAAAAATTTTTATAAAATTTTAGAATTAACTAAAATTGAAACCTTGAACACGTGTTACTTTATTTTTGGTAATATTTTTGAATACGTGCAAATACAAGGCCAGTAAACGGTTATTCAGATAGTTAAAATACGGAAATTATGCATTAGAAGAGAGTTATACCGGACCGCGCATGATCGTTTAGTCAAGTAGCTGACTTAATATAAAAGATAACCGAATAACTGGTAACTTATTTACTGTATAACTATTAGCCACAATACAAATTATAGATTAAGTACAACTAGTTTGAAGCCACTGATGTGAAGCTTTAAATTGAAAATGATTGTACAGTGCTATTTAAGAAAAATATTAAATGGCATTGTACAGTGCGCTATTATTAAAAAATATTCATTTGTCTGGTTTTTCTTATTTAACATGACTTCATAATTATTTATTATCATGGTATATTTCTAATATATAGTCTTGTATTGAGTAAATGAACTTAGATCGCAGTGAGACTATGCTCATTTAATCAATGGTTTTGTGTTGATGTTCCACAAAAAATTTACTCTTTATGTACTTTATTGTTACAGAGAAAGAGACATGCAGAGTCAATTGATGTGGGATCAACGAGTAGGATTGCTATCTCTAATGATGAACTCAGTGCTCAAGTGAAGAGATTAAAACGTGAGTTAGAACTAGCAGAACATAAAAGTGCGATTAAGTCCCACAAAATCAGAATTATGTCACAAAAATTAAGAAAAATGAAGAAAAAGATATTATCTATAAAAAGTCTGATAAAAATACAAGTTACAATCAAAAAATTTGTTGTTAGAGGAACATTCAATTTTATTTGAAAACATGCCACCTATATGTAAAGAACTGGCAGGACAGAAAATAGGCAAAAAAATTAAATATTCTTCTGCATTAAGACAGTTTGCGATAACTTTAAATTTTTTTTCTCCAAAGGGGTATAATTATGTGAGGGAAAAATTTCAAACTTGTCTTCCACATCCTTCAACAATATCCAAATGGTTCAGAAATGTTAACGGAGAACCTGGGTTCACACAAGAATCTCTTGAAATTTTAAAAAAATATAATGAGAAGTCACAAAGTCCTCTATTGCTATCTCTTATAATGGACGAAATGTCAATACGAAAAATTTAGAATGGGACGGGACAAAATTTCATGGGTATGTAGATTTTGGAAACGATTTGCAAAATGATAGCAATGACATAGCCAAAGAGGCTTTTGTTTTTATGGCGAATTGTGTTAATAGAAGCTGGAAAATTCCAATTGGGTATTTTTTATAAACGGGTTAAATGGGACACAAAAAGCTAATCTTGTTAATCAATGTCTGCAGTTAATTGAAACAGAAACAGGGGCTCACGTAACATCATTAACATTTGATGGGGCAATAGCAAATGTTGCAATGACGCATATTCTGGGATGCAGCAGGAAATTGGCCAATATAAAACCCTTTTTTTCAATACAAAATAAAAATATTTCATATTTTACGACCCTTGTCATATGGTTAAATTAATTAGGAACAGGTTAAATTAATTAGAACACTTTTGGAGATAAACGTCATATAATAATCGATAAAGATGGAAATTCTATAAATTGGAATTATATAGAATATCTTAATATTAATTAATTATATATCAAGAGTTACAAGAACACGACTAATAAACTTCGTAAAAATCATGTTAATTTTTTTAATCAAAAATCAAAAATCAAAAATCAAAAATCGTTTAGCGGTTCAACTTTTAAGTGCGTCTGTTGCCGACTCTCTTTCTTATTGTTTAAATGAATTAAAGTTAAAGGAATTTTCCGGTTGTGAAGCTACTATATAATTTATACAAATTACAAATAATGTTTTTGATATTTTAAATAGTCGTTCAGTAAGAGCAAAACACTAAGAAAGTATTATATGATAGCAATATAGAACAAACAAAAAAGTTTGTACAAGAGGCTATTACTTACTTCTCAAACCTTAAATTTGATGATGGACAGTTAGTAACCGATTCGGGGAAAAAAACTGGATTTTTGGGAGTTATCGTCTCATTAAAAAGTGCTCTTGGGTTGTACGAGGACATTGTTTGAGATAAGTTAAATTATAGTATTTACTTGATTATTTATAATGTGTAGTTTTAGCCTTATTACATGATGAAACATACAGTACAATTAATTTTGACAATTAATAAAGAAATGTATTTATACATTTCTTTATTTATTTATACATTTCTTTATTAATTGTCAAAATTAATTGTACTGTATGTTTCATCATGTAATAAGGCTAAAACTACACATTATAAATAATCGAGGACATTGTTGTCCAGAAAAAATTATTACTTTACCTTCCTTTGTACAAAGTTAGTCAAGATCATGTTGAACTATTTTTTTCTAGTATAAGATCAAAAGGGGGATGGAATAATAATCCGACTGCCAGACAATTCACTGCTGCTTATAAAAGGTTGTTAGTGCGTAGTGAAATTCGATCTGGTGGTTTAGGAAATTGTGTTCCATTGGACGATATTCCTATTTTAAGTGGTTCAACTCGATTTAAAAAACTGAGTTGAATATTTGTTCAGCTGAAGCTCGATTATTAGAAACATTTTACGAACAATCTTTAGAAACTATTTGGAGCAAACATGACTACATAATGAATTCAATTGTAATTAGCGAATGTTCTATTCAAATAATTACTTACATAGCAGGTTTTGTAGCCCGAAAATTGCAAAGCACAATAAAATGTGTAGATGCATTGTCTGGAAACAAATTAAATTATTTAAACCCACTAATTACAAAAAAAATCAAGGAGGATTAACATATCCGTCTAAAGATGTGATTGCAATTTGCAAAACATCGGAACATTTTTTAAGAATAAACGAGCAAAATTTGGGTAAACCCAAATTTATCTCTATTCTAAAAAATAAAATCATGATCAACTGCGTTCAATTTGAACAATATTTTTGCAATCTGCAAGAACATATTTTAGGGTGTGCTTCAAATCATAAATATTTTTTAATTGAAGCAATAGTGGACGAATACTTAAATATAAGATTGCATTTTATAACAAAAAACGAAATGAATTTGATAATGTCATTCGAAATAAATATAACAAATTAATACTTTTTAGTGAACAATAAATCAATAATTAAAAAAGTTGTTTGCTTCTATCACATCCCTAGTCCCTAATCCTGGATTATTTCGAGTAAGTATAAAAGTTCGAAAAATTAAAAGACTCATTTGTTTAAATCTTCTGTGTGCATAATGTTATGTAAAATTAATAAAAATTAAATTAAAATTATGATTACTATTATTTGGAATTTAATTATGTAGTTTTATATTGTTCATATTGGCCTGGGTGTTACGTCACTGGCACACGCGTTTGGTGCTCATCGGATTCACTTTTGTTAACGTTGAACTGTTGCAGTCACTCCTTTGACGTGTAAAATTCCCTACTCTAAGAAAATTTGGTACTTTTTGACAACTGTATATTTATGTTGGCTATTCTGTGTAGTGTAGTGACATGACATGGACAGTAGTTCAAAAGTTTGGTTTCGTTTTTGTTATGGTTTATTTAAATTTAAATTGAAAGGTTTATCATTTTGTTGTTTTGCTTTAAATGGATTTACAATGTCTAAATACTATCGACTGCAATCAAGGAGCTGTTAGAGCGGTCAGATTTAACGGTAATATATGTAGTATGCTTTTAACTTGCTTGTTTTTTTAACAATTTATTTTATAATCTAGCCAGACACTCTTATTGTTTTTTTAGTTGATGGATCCTACTGTTTAACTTGCGGATCAGATAAAAAATTAAAACTTTGGAATCCCTATAGAGGCTTGATACTTAAAACTTACGGTGGCCATGGAAACGAAGTTCTGGATGCATGTGGTTCCTGTGATAGTAGTCACATAGTATCATGCTCTTCAGATAAATCCAATATATTGTGGGATGTCTCTACAGGACAACCCATTAGAAGGTTGAGGTAAAAATAGTTATATAAAATATTACACATTTTATTGATAGGATTTCTGTTGATGAATATGGAGCTGTAGAAAAAACTCAGCAATAATTTCATAATGGTCATTATTATCATCAAAGAATATAGAAGCATATTTGCATCTACATTCTTTGCTATCTTCCTAAAGTTGACCTTTCACACTTAATAAGAGTAAAATATGAATATTATAAGAAAAATATTGTTTGTAGATATTTAAAGAAACAAAAGTACAAAGTCATGTAATCACTGTAAATTTTGACAATTAGATTATACAAATAAATAGAGATCCCTAAGAGAATTAATATAGATATAGATTGAAGATTGTTGAGTTATTTTAGTATAGTTACCTTCAATTTTGTATAGAGTTTGCTAAAGTTATTGTGATTTTATGGATCTAAACTTATTTTTAGAGGTCATGCAGCCACAGTCACCTGTGTCAAATTTAATGAAGAATCAACTATAGTTGTGTCTGGCAGTTTGGATAACACAGTAATGTTCTGGGATGTGAAATCTAGATCTCAAGATCCAGTACAAGTTCTAAAAGATGCCAAAGATTGTGTAACATCTATTCAAGTTACAGATCATGAAATATTAGCTGGTTCTGTAGATTGTTCTTTTAGGAGATATGATATAAGAAATGGAAGTTTGGATGCTGATTTTGTTGGAGGTAATATTTTTATATAACTGTGTTCTTTTTCTAATCTTCATTTATCAGAAGGATTTTTCTTGTATTCTCCTGGTAAAATCTTCCTGGCCAAGGTCATTCTAGAAGCTCATATTTCAAAATTCTTAACCATTAATTTCCCAGCTTATTTCATGTATTCACAGAAATTGTTCTTTTTTCACTAGTTAATTTTAGATATTTTAAAATATCTCTAAAATGACACCCTCATTTATCTACTTACAATTAAAAACTTATCAAAGCCTATTCCCCTCTTTTAATTATATTACAGTATTTCCCTTCTATTACAACTAAAGAAAAATGTTTAATTTTTCAGCACCTGTTGTATCAGTCAGTTTTACCCATGATGGACAATGTATTTTAGCTGGATCTGCTGATAATACAGTACGATTGTTTGATAAAAACTCTGGAGAGATGCTGGGAAAGTAAGTTTATTAACTAAAATTTAAACTAACACCATATTGTATATAGAGATGTATTTGTGAGTCAGTAATTGTATTTTTACTTAAACAAATGTTTGATGAGTTTTGGTAGATACTTTTAGATGTAGTTTGGCTTTTAAAGTTACTTCCAACATATCTTAATAGATGTTTTCTTTAATGAAGCATACATCATAGTTCCACTATCTAGTTGTTGTAAAAAATATGGCAATGCATACTGGATGACTTATGTTATCCTGTAGCATTCTAATGAAACGAGTTTCTTCTTCTATATTCAGTTTTTTTTCCTTAATTGAGTATGCATGTAGGGTAACTTATTTTATCTTTTGGTTCTTCACTTTTGTCTTTTTCTGTATTATATTTACAGTATATAAACATTGGCAGTATAGATGAAGTATAATGAATCTAGGTTTTACCACTATCAGTATGACACAAAGGATTGTGATGGGAATGTATTGGGAAATGGACCTTCCAAATAAGAATAAGATATTACTCAGCAATACATGTTGTAAATATTATAAACTGAAAACAGAAACTCTTCATACTATCAACTGCCAGTTACACTGTAGATGTAACTAAATGTATGCTGTATGTAGATCTAAGTAAGGCACCGATAGTCTAGCTCACTAAGCTAAAGACTTTAGTCAGATATAGATCTGGAAGATGATGGTTCAGGTGCATGCGATGTAAGGCTTCATCTCTAGATCGACATTTATTGTCTCACTAGAGAAGAAGAGAAAATTGAAGGGATTGTCATTCTGGTGGGACAGTTGAAAGATGACAGAATAGCTAATTGTTGAACAATCTACTACATTTTCTACCTGCTTAATAAAGAAAAAATTATTTTCACCTTAACTTCAGTACCATAAACAAAATTTAATCTTCTTGAATGTTTCTATTCGAGAGTGTCATATTAATATGAATGCACCATCTTGAATAAATCTGTACACGTGGTCGGAAATGCAGATGACACAGACATTATTGCTAGGTCCACGGAATTTCTGATTGAAGCATTTAGATCATTATGCGCTTCTGGACTGAGAATGGGATTAAAAATAAACGCACAGAAAACCAAGTATATGAATTACACCTTCATCTGGCTGGGCTCGCTGCTGACCAAAGACAACAATATCTGCCAAGAAATTAAAAGAAGAATAGCTCTTGCCAATAAGTGATATTATGGCTTGAGGAAACAGATGGCCCCTAAACTACCCAGAAAAATTAAAATTACCATATTATAAAACACTAATACACTAATAAGGCCGATGTTAATATACGGGTCAGAAACTTGGTCACTCACACAGAATGACCAAGAACTGCTTAGATGTTTCGAGAGAAAAATTCCAAGGAAAATATATGGAGGAGTCCAAGAACAGGTTTTGTGGCGTAAGCGCTACAACTTTGATTTATACAGAAGTTTTGGGGAACCTGACATTGTAAAATTTATTAAATTAGCACGCCTTCGATGGATAGGACATGTAATTAGGCGAGATGAAGATGCAACAATCAGAAAAATTTTCAACTGAAGAGGACCAGTGGGAAGACGAGCCAGAGAAAGACCAAAACTTAGGTATCAAGATAACATAGAGGATGATCTAAAATCCATTGGAGTTAAAGCACAGAGAAGAGTTGCCAGAGACAGGGGCGAATGGAAGATTGTTCTGAAGAAGGCTTTGGCTCATAACGAGCTCTAATGCCACTGATATTGATGAATGTTTCTATTGAATTTTCTTTCATTACTGCCCATTTCCACTTTAAATCTTTGTTTTTTCAAAATTTTATTGCGTGGTGCTGTGAATCAGAATATGATCCTATGAATTCTGTACTAGTAATGACATTACTAGAAATCAACATAGTTGTTTTACGTTTTTATGACTTATCTGGATCTGTTTTGATACATAATTCATTGATGAGATGTCACATACCTTTTAATTCTTTTCTGCATAACATATATTTGTCTGTTAGTATTTGGAGTGTTCATTAAGGTAAGCGAAATCCAAATTCGTGTTAGTACTAATAATACTACCTAAACGTCTATGAAATATGCTCTGTACTAAATGTGGTCCTACTCTTCTTCTTCAAGTGCCCTCTCCGCTGCGGAGTTTGGCAATCATCATTGCTATTCGTATCTTTGAAGCTGTTGCTTTAAATAATTGGTTAGATGTGCACTGGAACCAGTCTCTTAAATTGCGAAGCCAAGATATATGTAGGGAATATTATAGGGAAGCAGCAAAATTTAAAAATATTGACACTAAAGAAAAATCAGTGGATCAATGGATCCATATTGGAAAAAGTTTACCAGTCTCACCTACTTAGGAAATCGGAAGCTCGACAAGAAAAAGAAAATGACAAAACCGAGTGCCAAGAAAGTGAGAATATATTAGTTTTTGCAGTAGATCTTCACGCAGTGCTTTTAGCTCATCGATTAAATACTAAAGCAAACTACTACAAAACAAAGTTAAGGGTGCATAACTGGACCTACTATGACCTAAGATATAAGACAATTACCTGCTTTGTATGGCACGAGGGCCAAGCAGGTCTCGAAAGTGATATTTTCGCATCCATCGCAACAAAATTCCCAAACCAAATATTAATGAACAGTGTCTTACAAAGATCATTATTTGGAGCGATGGCTGTTGCTGTCAAAATAGAAACATCAACCTATCTAACGCCTTACTCGATATTTCCAAAAAGTATTCAGTGACTATAGGCAGAAATATCTGAAAGTAGGGCATAACCAAATGGAGGTAGACTCAGTATATAGTCTAATAGAACGAAAGTTGAGACGCAGAAACGAAATTTACCTTTCTTCTGAATAGTTGCGTATTATGAGAGAAGCAAGGATACTCCCTCTCCTTTCAAGTAGTTGAATTGACTCACACAGATTTTCATAAGTTTGGGTCAAATTTTTATTCTAGCATCAGGCCCGGCCGTGAAACCCAATGGAGTCCGATGTCTGCGCTCTCCAATACAATCCCAATTTAACAATTTTGTACAAACTACCGTTCTCAGATACTTGGGTCGACATGCCTCATCTTCAGAGTTCGATAATTACCAATGCTCAATTGTCTCATCTTTACGAAGGCCCGTGTCCAATTGAGCGTAATAAGTATGGCTATTTACAAGAACTAAAAGGGTTTATTTCTGCAGATTGCAGATTATTTTATGAAAATTTGTTGCTTAAATAAGTTTTAATTTTGCACTTACATAAAGAAATATTTTTGTATTTTATGCCTTATGTTTATCTTCTATTACTTAAGAAATTCTTTTTCTTCTACTTCTTCTTCGTGCGACTAGGATTACTACTGCTGGTCTACCTCTTATTCTGTTTCAGTCGTTATTGAATATACATTATCTTTCTACCTTTTTGGCGGCCTTCCAACCGGTCTTCTGCTATACGGTTTGTTGTTTTTACAGATGTTCATTAATCTATCTGGTCCCATTTGGTTTACATGTTCGTTCCATTTTTTTTTTGTTTTTATCCACCTGTTAATATTTTGAATTTTGCATTGTTCGCGTATACTTCTGTTGGTTTGTCTGTCCCTTAATGATATGCCCGCTATTGATCTTAATACTTTCATTTCGATATTGTTGATTTATTGTTTCGTCTTTCTTGTATCAACCACCTACTCTTGCTGCTTTTGATGCTTGCCTTGTGGTCTCTGTTCTCATATCCCTGTCACTAGTGATCTCTACTCCTAGGTTATTGAATTTTATTACTTGTTCTACAATTTTGCCCTCTATTTCTAGTTTGCATCTACGCGGCTCTTTACTGATCACCATACATTTAGTTTTTTCTAGTGATATTTTCATTAAGAAATAAAACATTTAAATATCATACAATTAGGTCTCGGTTCTTTATTACAATTCATCATATTTCAATAAATGTAACCAAGCGGTAGCAAGCAAATTACCTAATGTCATTAAAAACGGGTTTTTAAGCCCTAGTTAGTTGATCTGTTAATATAACATTAATATAATTCGGCAAAAGTATAGTTTGTCCCAAACAGCAGATCAAAAATACGAAAGTTCTACAATTCATATTATTTTTTTCATCTCCTGAAAAATCGTCTAATTTGACATACGACCTATTGGAGCAACGACGACGATATACTAAATATTCATTGTTTTTTTTTTCAGGTACACAGGTCACAGAACAGACGACGTGAATATCGAAAGCGCCGTGATCACTAACGACAATTTCATTCTGTCTGGATCAGTAACTGGAGAATTGTGGTGTTGGGATCTAGTAAGCGCAGAGGTAGTGAAAAAGTTTGTTCATACCCGCGGTAAAGTGCTTAACTCGATAAGTATTCATCCACGTAAGGATGTTGTGTTGACTGCTTCAGTAGGTTCAATCAAAGTGTGGGGAGAACCGGAAGTGATTATAACTGAGGATTAGTGGAATGTGTTGGACTTTTAAGCTAGTGGCTATGATCGTGAAAATTTTGAACTAATATTGACATTTAAGTGAAAACTGGATAATCCAGAAGTCGCGTAAGATAAATGTTGTAAAGATGTAACACCTACCACTGGTGCCATAAAAACTAAAAAGGGCAGAACTGAGAGAATAACATCAAATAAATATAAACACAAAACAACCCAACCACGACAAATTTATTAAATCAAACAATTCAGAGATATAAATGAAATAAAATAATACAGCGACTATAAGAAAATTAGAAAAATCAAATGGAGTGGAACACTATACAAAAAATGAAGATTATGGTAGGAAATACCATTGAAACGGAAGATGAAGAACAAAAGAGGTGATAGTAGGTTCGAACAATCCCAAAATGAAAAAATTAATTTGAAGACTGAAAAATTCATTTGAAAAAAAGCATAAAAGATCATCATCGTCATCAACGTGTGACATGTGTGATCAACACGTGTCGCTAAATGGCTAAAGGCTAAGTCAAAAAAGCTCTACTTCAGGGACATTATTAAAGAAAGTTAAGTTACCCAATGCAGTAGAGAAGATAAACATATGGGTATTGCAAAGAAGCTTGCGTAGGATAATACAGGATGGGTAATTATATGAGAGGGGGAGAAACAGAGATTTCAAGACATGTAACATCTCATGGATTTATGTCTTAGAAAGATGATAGTAGAATGATATAAAAAAGGAAATAAAACTTCTAAAAAGAAATGAAAGAAAACAAAACTGAATTGTGCCTAGCGGACCGTAGAGCAGAAGACCACATCGATTCAAGAAACTGCAGAAAATAAAAAAGTGATTATCACCAGAAGAAAAGTACATGGTATATTCCCATGCAGAGTCTAACGTTCGGTGTTATATGTAGACCAATAAACTATAGATTTACTGATATTTACTTATAAAAATTTTATTTACAATATTTGTAGCAATTGTCTCTTGTGTACAGCTTCTTCTTTTGAAGTTTTCGATCAGCATGGCAGTTTTAACTTTAGATACTGTCGCGCGGAGTAGTTCCACTGACGACGGTGCAAACCATTTTTCAAATTACGCAGCCAGAAATATCTACGTTTCTAACCATATTACAATATTTTCTTAGTGATACAACTATTTTGTTATAAACTTTGATAAAATTAAAGGCCGATATCCAGCACAATTTTATTAATTCAATCTCAAAGTACTTTCGCTTTCTAAAGCATCATCAGGGGCTTCTGAAATAAGCCAAGAAACGTTTTTTTTTTTAAATGAAGAAATTGATTAACTTCGATAAAAAACTCGAAGTTAATGGATGATAAAGGTTTTTGTGATTAACGTTTTAGACTTACTTCGTCAGTTTTGGGCTATCCAACAAGCGCAGAATGTAATAAACATAGCATTAAACATAAAATTGTACAAACACTACACTAAACAAGGACAAACAGTTTAAAATTAGTTGAAGCTACATTCTTGTCAGCAATAGGAGAGAGAATGGTATTACGGAAATGTGAAGGTGATATGTGACATTTGACAGCTTGGATGGGCAGTCACAATCATGGAAATGTGATCTGCACATTTTAAAATTCTATGTAAGTAAGCATTGACCAAAGGTCCAACCGACACTACTATAGGAAATCAAGTCGGTGTCGGTTGGACCTTTGATCAATGCTTACTTACATAGAATTTTAATATGTGCAGATCACATTTCCATAATTGTGACTGCCCATCCAAGCTGTCATATGTCACATGTCACCTTCACATTTTCGTTAATACCATTCTCTCTTCTGTTGCCGACAAGAATGTAGCTTCAACTAATTTTTAAATAATTTTAAACTGTTTGTTCTTGTTTAGCGTAGTGTTTGTACAATTTTATGTCTAATGTTATGTTTATTACATTCTGCGCTTATTGGATAGCTCAAAACTGACGAAGTAAGTCTAAAACGTTAATCAAAAACTTTTATCATCCATTAACTTCGAGTTTTTTATCGAAGTTAATCAATTTCTTCATTTAAAAAGTTTCTTGGCTTATTTCAGATGCCCCTGATGATACTTTAGAAACGAAAGTACTTGAGCAAGATTTAATTAATAAATTTGTGCTCGATATCTGCCTTTAATTTTATCAAAGTTCATTTATGCGAGCATTCAACCTTATATCAATATTTTGTTATATATTTTGTTCAGAATAAAGATTTTAATGAAATATTTACGATTTTATTTGTTTGTTCAAAGTAAAAAGTATTCTAAAAATTTTCTAACAAAAGTTGTGCGGGTAAGTACAAAAGATGGTAAGCCTCTTATCACACCAGACCAAAAAAGACCAGAGCTTAACAATCAGACACGGAAAGAAAAATAGGATGGTTATTATAATAGTAAGACAGTATTTACACAATAGACAGCAACATGGGGAAATTATGTTATAGTGTATTTTTATGTATGAGAGAGTAATAAAACAATAAATTATGTATGCAAATCCCTAAACTGTTGATACGGGTGACTCAATGAAAAACAGATATTTGTCAACAAGTTTACAGAAGTATATAGGAAAACAATTTTAAATTGAGTATGACCACCAGGTATAAAGGTTGGAGCAGAATAGAATACAATAGTTGTGAGGGTTACTAATCCCTAAATAAGGTTGCCAGTGTCGGAGTGATGGAGGTTAACAGGTACTAATGAATTTGCAAGAAATGTAAGATTTTTATTGGTTATATATAACCAATAAAAGTTTAATAAGTACCTACCTATTTGCAAAATAAAGTTTAATTCTTTAGATAAAATAAAACGTTTTATTTTATTTGAAATAAGTGCATTCCACGAAGTAAGGGTTTCAACAATCAAACATTTAATTCTTTAATTCCAGGAATCTACGACAGTAATTGACTAGATAATTATCTTCTAAACTTATTCCACAGAAAATGTGATAGTGGGTTTTTCCATTTTGTAGGAAGGTCCAAGTGGCGTATTCAAAATTCTTAACAGTTCACTAGAAGTAGGTACTTCAGTTGCAAGGTGCAGTTAATTGTGTATACTAGTGTTATGGAACATTTGGAAGTGCCGTGTAAACGCCGAAAAATTGGTCCTTTAACAGTTAATGAAAAAACATTAATATTTAATTGTTTTAAATCATTTACAGACAAACGTTTATGTGAAAGTGTTGATAAGACCGTTGAGTTAGTTAGCAGTACACTTGGTGTTGGGAAATCTACGATTTACAGAGTTATTAAGAAGAGAAATGTGGTAGTTTTCAAATGCCACGTAATGCTCCAGGGAAACCAAAATTTCAAATAGAATATCATTTTAAAGAAGGACTTCGACGGAAAGTGCATGAATTCTTCTTTAGACAAGAATTTCCAACATTGGATAAAGTTCTTGTCTCAGTTCGAGATGATAAGGATTACCCAGAAATGAGTCGAAGTACGTTATGGAAACTTTTAAAAGAAATAGGCTTCCGCTGGAAAAAGAATCCCAGAAAGTCTATTTTATTAGAAAGAAGCGATATTGTTATATGGAGAAGACATTTTCTAAGAACCATAAAGGAAATAAGAAACCAAAAAAGAAAAATATTTTATCTTGATGAAACATGGATCAACGAGGGTCATACACCAAATAAATTTTGGCAGGATGAAACTGTTACAAGTCAAAGGCACGCTTTTGTAAATAACTTATCTACTGGTTTAAACCCACCATCAGGAAAGGGACGCAGGCTGATAATAGTACACATTGGCAGTTCAGACGGTTTTGTTGAAGGTGGTTTATTAACTTTTGAATCAACTCGTACCGGTGACTACCATGAAGACATGAACTCTGATGTCTTTCAAGAATGGTTCGAACAAATGATAGATCTTCTTCCTAAGAACTGTATAATAGTAATGGATAATGCAAGTTATCACTCCAGACTTATAGAAGGAATGCCCACAACCAAGTGGTTAAAAAAAGACTTGCAGAATTGGCTGAGTTCAAAAAATATTACGTACCATCCCGGATCTATAAGAAAGGAACTTTATTCGTTGTGTGCCCTTCATAAAGAAACATTTAAAAAATACGAAATTGATGAAATTGCCAAAAATCGTGGAATGACAGTACTTAGATCCCCACCATATCATTGTGAATTAAACCCGATTGAACTGGTATGGGCACAGATAAAGAGTGAAGTTTCAAGAAAAAATACCACTTTTAAAATTCATGATGTTAAACAGTTGTTTTTGGAGGCCGTAAATAATATAAAACCTGAAAACTGGGAAAAGGCAGTAAATCACACTATTAAAGAAGAGGAAAAAATGTGGAAGCTGGACAATATTACTGATAAAATGATCGAGCCAGTTATTATTAATCTTGGTTCTGAAAGTTCATCTTCTGAATCTGATTTGGATTTGTAACAAGTAGCTGTAAGTTTTATATTAATATTTTTATTCATCTATTTAACATACCTTAGACGGTTTTAAAAACTCTTTTTCTCTTTTGTAATTTTTAAAAATTAAAAAAAAATGTGAATTTTTTAAAACCCTTTTTAATGTAGGCCATTCAGTTCTAATATAGTGTGTGATAAAAGAGGTCACTTTTGTTTACATACACATAACACTTTATAACACTGAAATAATTCATTTATTTTTTACAATTATTCAAAGTAATTTTTGAATTAATCTTGAGCACGCCCATGGAGTGGTCAGAGGTACCAGTTAAAATTATGCTAATTACTCTCTCGTTCATAAAAATAAACTATAGGATGAGTGAATTAAAGCCTTTAAAAACAACACCCAGGACTTCATTGTTTGGATTCCAGCCAAATACGCAAAAATTTCTCAACATTTGAGAGTATTAAGTTGTTCAATGTCGAGTAGAGAACCAATATAGGTTCCCAAAATGTAGATGTTTCTGGACTGCCTAAAACCAACGGTGAAGTGGCGAATATTCTTAGCCTCTAATAAGAATTTTACAAATTAGACAAATAGTCAACTATTAAAATGGCTAATTTATTTTTTCACACACGGTTA